CTCTCTCTCTCTCTCTCTCTCTCTCTCTTCTCTATATATATATATATATATATATAGAAAAAGCTGGGGTTAGCCAACTAACTCATATGAACATATGAGCCCAACGACGCATATTGAATCTGAGCCGATCAAACAATCACGGAGGTCTGGTACTATTTGAATTTTATTTATTGTTTTATAAATCTAAATCACTTGAAATTTTAGGTGTGTGTTCTTCTCATCAAGGCTCACCTAATAAAAATATTTAAAAAATTATCTATAAAAAATAAAATAACCAAAATACCCCTTAAAAATTTTTGGGGGTATTTTGATCAATTTATTTCATTTAAAATAATTTTTTGATATTTTCAAAAATTACCTATTTTTTATATACATATGCTCCAAATTTCAAGTGATTTGGACTTGTAGAAAAACAAATAAAATTCAAACACTATAGGTTTTCTAGAGTGAACAACCCCTCATAATACAAAGGTTAAAGTTAGAAAGGGTTGTGATAGGTGTATATATAAAAAAAAATCATTATTTTTTTTTAAAAAAATATTTTAATAGATAACTTAAGTATTAAGCAATCGCAGATTTGAAATTTTTACAAAAGTACAATGACATTTTGGAAGTTGGTGCCCTTAAATTTTATTTGTACAATGCCCTTATCCTTTAGTAAAAATTTCAACTTTACCTTTTATGGAGATGAAACAAATACAAGGTCTTGTAGTGATATTTGTAAAATTGCCCTTACTTAATGATGATGATATCACAAAAAATAACTTTTTTAAAAAAATAGACTACAAAATTAGTAAGTCCACCCTTCACAACTCTCTCAATATTTAACCTTTTGTAATTTGACCGTGTTATGAACTTTGGGTGGTGATGAGCATAGACGAAATCACTGTTCATTTTCGTCTATAGGCGTTGGAAAGACTTTTCCTCGATATATATATATATATATATTATATTGTATATATAATATATAACATAATTTAGTATATAGTATACTATTTTATTATAACCTCGATCTTTTCCTAATATATAATATAATTTATGATATTTATACATCATATATTATATTAAGTATATATATACATTATATAGTATTAACATAATATCTAATATAATATAATATAATATAGGAAAAATATCTTCATAGCCCCCATTTAGTTTTATATCTCAACTGACTTAAAGTTTTAAAACATATCTTGGATTTAAAATTCTAAGTTTTATATCTTTTAACCTCCAATGCTAACTTTATTCCTTTTAAACATATTTTTTGGCTCCAAACAAATATAAGAAAGACATCCTTTCTAAACATCATCCTTTCTCTTTCTTCACGTGATTTTTCCCTAAATCTTTCTACCTATTTCCCACTCTTTCTCCCCTATGTCTCTCATTTTCTCTCTCCCCTGTTAGAAAGACAAAGAGAAATTTGGGGGGAATATATCACGTAAAGGGATGAAGGGTTTAGAATGAGCATGTCTTTTTTATATTTGTTAAGGCTAAAAAAATAGTTAAAAATGGGTAAAGTTAGTCAGGGAGTTAGGATATATATTTTGAATCTTCGAGTCTATTGAAATATGAAAACCAAAAACAGAGGGTACGATGATATTTCCTTTATAATATGATATGATATAAGATAATGTAATATTACATAATATTATATTATAGTAATATATTATATATTACTCCCGCAGGTCGTTCGACATGTTTTGCCTGAATTCACAGTAGTCTATATAGTCTATTCCCTTTCCAGATTGAGTTGAGTATATTATATTAAGTATATTATATATAATATAATATACTATATTATACAATATTATATTGTAATATATAAACTAATATATAGTTTAATATTATATAATGTAATATTACATAATATTATATTAAAATATTATTATATATTATATTATATTAATAGTACTAATATAATGTATTGGAAAACACTACGAAACGCCTATAGGTGAAGTTCTACAATACTTCACTTACGGTTTTATCGCCATTCAAAGTTTATCTCACACGGTCATAGATGTCTGATCGTATTTAAATTTTAATAGAGTTTTTTACAAATCATAATGATCAAAAATTTTGTAGATGTGTGCGTCTTAATGAGATGCACATAAATAAAATATAAATAAAAAAATGAATAATAAAAATTATCTAAAATACCCCTATAAAATTTTAGGGGTAATTTTATCATTTTACTTTACGACTATTATTTTTATAATGTTTTATTTCGATGCGAATTTGTCATTTGTACATATGTCCCAAATTTTAGATAAATCTGATTAGTACAAAAATTATAAAAATTCAAATACTACAAAAAATTGTGACCGTGTGATGGACTTTGGACAGTGATAAGGTGTAGGTGAAGTACTATAGAACTTCACTTATAGGCATTTTGTAGATGCTAATACATATTATCAATTGTTATATAATATAGTACAATATAAAATAGTGTATAATTTGTATAAAATGTTATTTTATATTATATTAAATATTATAAAAAGATAATTTATATGTTTTAATATATTATTCAATATATAAATAAAATATTTTATAATATATTATGTTGTAAATAGTGAATATTGAACACCAGGATCAGTCATTGACAAAAAAACAATTAAGAGAGTTTAGGTTTTTAGGGCCCCCTATAGAACTTCAACTTTTCCATTTTAAAAGAGAGGGAATTTGCGGTAAAGTTTAAGTTCCCAATACAGCAGCAGTTCCTTCGCAATCAAGCACAGAAATGCTAGTCTTCACTAATATTATCTTTATGGAGCCAAACGATCATGCAAACAAACGTGTCCTAAGAGTTCCCCATCACGTAAAAAATGACAACGCACTATTCAGGATTTCCAATCAAATTGGTGTCCCCGTCACATAAAAAATGACAAGCACTCTTTTGAATTTGCAATCAAATTGGTGCACTTGGCTCGTGGATTCTAAAATGTATCCATCTATGAAAAATATAATATCTATAAATCGTTCATTGTTTCAAACATTAGACCACTTAAAAAAACTAAATTTTATTATGTTAGGTTAGATCGGACCGCATCATAGTTAAATGTAAAGTGGTCCGGCCACCCTACAAATGGAGCAGTTTGATTTTTGTGACGTTTGACAGTACTATAAATATCAAAAGGTAAAATATTGAAATTAAAAGATGGGCAAAGGTGAAAAAATAATTAAATTGGGGGCCGGACCTCTTTGCAAATACCCCATACTTTTGGACCAATATGTAATTACCATATTTTTATATAGTATAGACGTAATTTTTTCTATATTATTATGGTATGCATTTTGTGCTTGCTTTATTTTCTCATATTGCTCGTTTTTTCATTGTATCTAGCCAATTATGTGCATAATTTTGATTGAGATTTTGGTATTTGAGCTTTCTAATTCTACAAGCGAGGCATTCCCGGATTAAAACTCACCTCTCCTATCCTATACCATGTGGGGAAACATTGAAGAAATGGCAGATCAAATACTAGAAGCATATTAGTGAAACTCACCGGCCACATCAAAGATGGAACCGTATTGGGCTACAATAAAAGGATATCAAGACGTAACATAGATTCTACATGGATTCATTAACTCTGATTTCTTAAGCTCCTTTTTCAGGAACTGTAATTACTTTATTCGGACACCCCGATGGGTGCAAATTTAATGATAATAATAACAAAAGGCGTCCTCGTTTCTATGGATGGTTCGTGTAAGCATCTTAATTTATTTTATTTTTTTGGTAGTTTAGTGGGCACTTTTTAAGGGGAAAAGTTTATATAGTGGGGGGCTCTAAACAATCAAATCTGAATCTACCTCCACAATTTTACTAGAAGAGGTTGTTTTGATGCTCAAATATCTTCAAATTGATCATCTCGACATCAAGATGCATGACATAAGAAAAAAATAGATTGCAAGTTTTGGAAAGAGCGTATTTTATAACACATTTTTTACCATCAATTTTCAAGATTATCAAATTTTCATAGATATGTCGATTTACATTATTTATGAAGAGTTAAACTTTGTAAATTCCTTTTAAAACTATCACAAAGATTTTTAATATTTAAACCAGACACTATTTGAAGGTAGGATTTGATTGGTTAGATCTCTCTATACAAACCGCACCCCTTTTTAAATGGTTAGATTTTCGAAAGCTATTCGACATTGAAGAGCGAGATGAAAGAGCACGTGTCCTACCACCACGACCCAGTCCCTTTCTCGAGCATCCTTCATTTTGTACCTCTAATAACGTGCCCTTTTACACAAGCATTCTTTCATATTTTATTTGAATCCGGTAAAAGTATCACTTCAAATGGTTCTTTAATCCTTAAGGAACCCCATCACTTTCTGCACTTTCTAAACCAGACATTGTATCATACAGAGGCTTGTTCAAGGTCTCTGGCAGGTAAAATGAGAGTATTGCCCCTAGAACCCCACACAAACCGATCACTGCAAAGGCCAACTCCGCACCCATCACAACCACCATTGGTGCCAAAATCGCCCCCAACTGGCCCCCCTGTGTCACGCACCCTAATGCTGCATTCCGCACCACCGTCGGAAACAATTCCGATGCATAAATAAACAACAGATTGAATGTTCCGGCCACCCCGAATATCCCCATAAACCCACAAAACATCCTAATCCCTTCAAATAATCCATCCCCCTTCATTGTACTTCCTAGTAAACAGAAAGTCCCACTTATTCCCATGGTCCCCATAACCAGTGTCCTCCTCCCACACCTCCCCAAGATCAATGTAGTAAAGATATATGCCGGAATCTCAAAGACTCCGTTCAAAAAGACATTCAAATAGGCGTCCGTCCCGATGTTTACGGCATTTAGAGTAAGGCCGTAGTACCCAATGGAGCATGCTAGGTTTATCAGCAACAATAAGATCAGGCGAATGCGGGTTAATGGAGATTTGATTACATCAAAGAGGGAGCCAGAGATCACTCGATTTTCCGACACATTATCGTAATCCAGTAATTGATTATCAAGGGCAAGAGAGACTCCGTTAGGGAGGTGGTTGCCATTGGTTTTTGCCATATCTCCCATGACAGTCAGGGCTTCCGAGATGCGACCACGCACCAGGAGCCACCGAGGGGACTCAGAGATGAAGGGGAGGGCAGCCACAATGTAGAGTAGCGAGGGCAAGGAAGTAACTACATAGAGGGAGCGCCATTGCCGGAAAAAGTAGGCAGTGCAAGAAAGCAAGGCAAGTCCAACAGAGTAGAAATAGAATGTTGACATTCCAACGGCTCCCCGCTTGGTCGGGCCTGCGGGTTCAGTAGCCAAGACAAAGGCGGCGAGGCCGACACCACCAGCACTAATACCAGTGAGGAAGCGGAGGAGGAAGTAGACCCAATAACTTGGTGCAACTGCTGTGCAAAAGCCGAAGAGAGCATTCATTACACATACGACCGTTAGCGCCCCTTTTCGACCCAATAAAGAATCAGAGAGATGCCCAAATATCCCTGCACCTGAATGCACAGAAGTTCAAGCGAAACTACTCGGGCCCTGAACGAGGAGATTTCAGAGAAACCACATAATTCAGCAAGATAATTCTAATTAGAATAGCATAACGACTAGAATTTCTTTACCTATGAGGCTTCCGGCAAAGAAAGCAGATTGAACCAAGCCGATTTTGTATTTGTCACCGCAAACCAACCCAAAACTTGAAACTATGGAAGCGCCATTGCCTCCCACCCACTCCCATGAGCCGGGCTCCAAGTTGCAGACAGACATCAATGAACCAGAGCAAGATGCGGTACACCTCCAGGCCGGCTCGTGATCGGCAAAAATCATGACCATGGTGTGGAAGGCATTGGGAAGCCATGCCAAGCTGACTAGCACTAGGTGCCGCAAGTGCCAAAGCCCAAACTCGCCGGAAAATCTCTGCAGCATCACATCGACACCCATCTTTTCAAAATCTCCGGCTGGCAATGCCATGGTTGTAGGGGAAGGAAGGAGTGAGGCAGTTACAGAGGGTTGTCACATATATAATGTGGGAGAATTAAGGGTTGAAGGGGGAGTGGCACGTGCGCCATTTGTCTTTCAGGACATGGCTAGCACTGGCACTGGATTTGGAACAGTTGGTGTGGAATGCTCCCGCGGGTAAATAGAATTCTATATATATAACAAGGATAGGATATATATCACTATTAATTATAGTTCCGAAAAGAGAAGTCGCCAGCAAAAAAAATAATGACTTGTGGGATCCATCCATGATCGATCTTTGTCCGTTGTCATTATTAATTAATGAGAATGCTGCTCTAATATATAATTTTTTGGGACAATTACGTGAATATTTATTTTAGTTTACGTTATTATTAAAATATCAAATACTTTATCTTATTACTATCTATTTGTTTTTTAGATTTTATTATAATTTTATAAAAAAAACACAACATTACCTATTTTAGTTTTTTAAAAATTAAAATTTAATCAATTTCAATTTTTAAAAAACCAAAATTTTTCTTTCCGTTGTCTGGGTATCCTCGCCCTATCTCTCTCCCCCTCTCTCTCTAAACGCCATCTCTGAAAATCTCTCTCTCTCATAAAAAGCCCTATGTTCTTCCTTCCTCATAACAATTTATTTTTAAAAGTATCATATGTTTTATGAAGGCGTAAACTCGTATTCTACAATCCAGTAAGCAGCTTGCCACCAAGGCTGCTCGTAAATCTGCTCCAACAACTAGAGGAGTGAAGAAGCCTCACAGATATCACCCTGGAACTGTGGCTCTCCCGAGAGATTTGCAAGTATCACAAAAGCACAGAGTTGCTGATTAAGAAGCTGCCCTTCCAAAGGCTCGTTCGTGAAATTGCTCGGATTTCGGGACTGATCCACGTTTGTAGGGCCATGTTGTGTTGGCCTTGCAAGAAGCAGCTGAAGCTTACTTGGTAACCTGTTCCATTCACACTAATATAGATTGCACTCTCTCCATTTAAATCCACACTCAGTCTCTCGCTCTCAATCAAATTGCCCCCTCTCTTAAGGTCAAACAAGTCGTTTTCTCTATCTGCAGCAGATCGCCCTCTCTCTCTAAAACATAAAAACTTCAAGGAAATTCGGTTATAAAGTTAAAAAAATAAATTGGATTTTTGAAAAACTGAAATTATTAAAATTTAGGTTTTTTCAAAACAAAAAAGTTTAAAATTCCGATTTTTGAAAAACTGAAAATTTATAATTTTGGCTTTTTCTAAAAAAGTTGTTATGAACTTAGAAAAATAGAGATATGTATAATAACATAAAGTATTAGGTATTTTTGTAATAACTATGTTTGCTTATCACAATGATACTAAATACTCTT